ATTTATTTGAGACAGAGAGAATGAGAGACAGAGAGCATGAGAGGGAGGAGGGTCAGAGGGAGAAGCAGACTCCCTGCCGAGCAGGGAGCCCGACGCGGGACTCGATCCCGGGACTCCAGAATCATGACCTGAGCCGAAGGCAGTCGCTTAACCAACTGAGCCACCCAGGCGCCCCTTCAATAATCTTCTTAATGATGAAGTATGTCATCATTCATCATACAGTGTGTCATCAAAGAAGACTAACTTATTCTTAGTATATTCTTTTAAATAATGAAAGCGATTTAATGATACTTTTAACAAGCAATTAAAAGTTAACTTTACCTAACTGTGAAAGTAATTTCTCAGGAGAACTTATCCCTCTATGATGTTAACATGTGTTGCTACAGATGTGTTTAATTCTTTACAAGATGATCCTGGTGAAGTATCTTTTAATTTATAGCTTTTGAGCTGATAATTAAACATTGCCATAACTTTTAAAGATCTACTTGACTATTCATTTTGTCTACATGAACCTGCAGATAGGCCTCACTTAAAAAAATACTTTAAAAAATAGTTGTTTCTCTCTTTTAATACGTACTTTTAATAGTATCTTGAATAGGTAAGTCAAATGATTCGTGTCTTAGCTGAAAAAACAAGTCTTAGTGTTAAAGTAATCTAGTAAAAATGAAATATTTGCAATCCTTCTTTAGTGCCTACACACATACAACAGTCCTTCATTGAAGTCAGCACAAGTGAGTGGTTTTGGAATAATAATTTCAATGGAACAAAAACGATCATGTCAACCATGAAGTAAAAAAATGACATTACAGAAGCCTACAAATATTTAATGATGTTAAAACTTCTATAATTATTATATAAAGTATATCTTTAAATTACTTGCTACCTTTCCTATTAATAACATATTCACTAACTACTGCTCCTGAGGTAAAATTCCTCAAATCCTATTAATAAAAAAGATCACTAGGTCCTTTTCCTTAGATTAAGAAGTCCTCCATTACAAATGCATATAATCAGTGTATGAATAAATAAAACTATAATTAGTACCATCAATGGGAGGATTATTTGCAAAAAGATAATTTATTTTAAAAACAGACATTCAATATAAATGCTGGGAACTACAGATGTGGTAGAAAAACACTAATTTCAGAATCAGATCAAATTTCATTCAAATCTTAGCTTTGTAACCTTAAGCAAATAATTGCTTAGATATCTGGTTTCCTCATCTTTTTACTTACAGCTAAAACAAGGTGACTTGTATCTTGTCAGTTCCTTTTTAAAATGTTTAGTTCTTAAAAATGTTTATGGGATGAGAAAAATTCCAATTTCCTCCCTCAAACTTTAGAGAGATGTAAAGGGGAAGAAATAACACAAATAGAGATGGCATTCAGATTTTTAATGTAAATTAAAAGTATATCCCACAAAACAAATATAATCCTTCTTAGTGTCATTGAACTGCACTTAGAATCAATCGTAATTTTATTGTTAGGTAACAGTAATACACTAAGGCACCTTGGTAGGTAGTTCTTAGGCAAACAGTCACTAGAGTGCATCACTGGCTCTCACTGTCATATTAAGGTAGTCTAAGCACTCCAAAGCAGGCACAGGCAAACCACAATCCATGGGCCAAACATTCTTGTTTTGTAAATAAAGTTTTATTGGAACACAAACAGGCTATCATTTACATTGCATCTACAGCTGCTTTCGAACTACAAGGAAGAGTTGAATAATTGTGACCACAAGGCCCACAATTACTTACTATCTGGCCCTACAAAAAAGTTTGCTGACCACTGTTCTAAAGCACTGCTACTCAAAGGTTTGGTTTGCACACCTGGACTGTTTGTTCCTGAACGGAAATGAAATGAGATGGTGTGAGAACATAAACCAATTATGTTAACCAAGTACAATGGTTATTTCAACTACACTTTTGTTTTCATTGCCAGGCTTTCTCAGTGAAGGACTTACAGTCTGGTACAGGTTCCTTTTCTACTAGTGGGTGGGTATAAACAGCTCATTGATTAGCTACTTTGAATACCACTACTCTAAAGGTATGGAGCCACAGCAGAAGGAACTACCCAAAGCTCAAAGGGTAACAGTGTCACTTAGAGACTTATCTTGGCACAGTGATCAAGGTTTTGTAGCATTAGGTGATAGGTTTGGTAACTAACTAAATAGGATTCAGAAAATGGTCTTAACATAGATTTTCTTCCACTCTTTGCTCTTCCTAAGATTTAAATTACTCCAAAAATCTTGTCAGCTACAGATTTATGTTTCAACAAGGTGAAGTGTAACAGCTAAAGTCCCTCTCTCCTCTATCTTTTCTTGGTAGCAGGAAAGATGAAAATACTTGACCCTCCAAAAGTAACTTTTCAAGAAAGTAAGTCAATAATATATTTTGCCTATTTAGCCTCTTTAATTTGCTGAACAGATAGAAAACTATAATAGTAAAGTATATTTCTCTTGAATTAGAAGAATTTTTAAAGTAAATCTATTCTCTGCAAACATTACCAGTATTTTCCCCAGTACTTTAAGTCCTATTTTAAAATAAATCATGCATCAATTAAAAAATACAGAATGAAATCCTACTGCTAACTTTAACATGAAATTTCCTTGAACAAGTATACAATTTCTAAAGGCGCCAAAGGTAATCCAACTCAAGCAGTTTTCTGAAAAATAAAATTATTCAGGGACAGATTTTTATTGCAAATATTTACTCAAAAACTACTATATACAGCAGAATTTTAATAGCCGTTTAAAACGTTTAACATTCAGTGAAACAAAACTTAAGAATTCAAAGCACATTTTAAGAAGTAAAAATGTAGCATTTTAAATAAATTTTTTAGTACTTTAAAGCAAACTACTGTTATTCATATTATTTATTTCTATCTCTATTATTTTCTAGATGATAAAAAAACAACTGAAAAATCAATTTAGCAGCCATTTTATGGATAAAATAGGATATGGATAAATTAGGCTAAATATCCCAAACCAATTTTTTACATCACTGCTTTAGGTCCCATTTGAAGTTTCTATTTTACAATTAAAGAAAAAGTCACTTAAACATGGCATGAGCCAGGACATGTTTTCAGTTTACTGCTTTACAATATCTACATTATACCATACTTTGGTTTGGCTTCCAGACCATTTTTATGGGTCTATTTCTAAAGATCATTAAAACAATATTAAAAGCATAATAGCTACAGGAGTTTCAACAATGGGTTTCTATTTTATACAACTAGCACATCAAGGATTTCTGCACAGCTTACACACTGACAAAAAGCACAAATATAAATTTATTATCTTAATAATTTCACTTTCACTGAAAGTTTAATTAAGGTAAGTTTACAGCCTGGCAGGCTAACACTTGTATGGAGGTACACAGATTCAAATATTCTGTTTACATGCTTCTGACAGTCTGGAATGTTATATTAAATCCAAAATTAATTTTACGTTCATCCAAATTCTCATTAGATCAATTAATTTCGCACTCTAAGCATGCTCCATTTACCAGCATTATACTCAAAATGAAGCCTTCATTAACAATGCCTATCAGCCATTATTTTTAATCAATTATTCCCAAAAGGTGTGGGGTTTCCAAATCTCTTCCTTTAAGTTAACTGAAAAGAATACATAGGTAATAAAATCTTTTAGTTTAGGACTGATGGAAGTTTCAAAAGCTTTATTATTATAATTGATATTCTAATAATCAATTTGTACTGGCCACCAAGTTCTCCTCACAAACCATTAAATGAGACTTTTCCATTGCAAACTTAACTTCCACTAAAATCCTGTTATGTTTTAAAGGCTTCTTGGAAATCCACAGAAATCATGCTCTTATCAGTGAATTGATTTCTTTAAGAACCTAGGTTCAACATACAGGTAAAGTGTATATGAATGACTTCCTTCACATTTTTCTCTTTCTGAACTCTACATAACAGCACCTCTGAGCTCACCTGATAGCACTGTTGCAAATGTTCTTACCGTTGGTACACTAAACTTAGAATGACTACTAAATTTCAACTTCTTTCTTTTTCATCTGCCAGGTCTACTGTTGTCTCTGTTGTGCTACGGCTATTTTCTCCAGGAACACTGTCAGTTTGATCAGATACTAAGTCATCAGTCTTGGCTGAAGGATCACCACTACCTTTCTGAAGAATCTCTGTGGCTTCATACTCAAGTACCTCTGATGGAGTCAAAGGTTCTAAATGAACACTGCCTTGCTCACTAACATCAGAACTAACAGATTCAGGTTCATCTCTTTTTCTCAAAAACTGATCAATGCTAACATCACCAGATGTTAACTGCAAATCCTTAATATTCTTCGAAGAAAACCTAGCTTCACTGGAGTTGGAATCTTCAATCTGATCACATGAAATTAAGTTTCCTGAACTTTGACACATCTTCAACTCTGTTTCCTGACAAATGTGCTCTATTTGTTTCTCCTTTTCTACTTTACTGGCATCAATATTTGAATCATGACTGAAGATATTCTTTAAGCCCGTTTTCTGGTCTTCGAGACAGGTATCATTTTCCTTATTTGAAGCTGTTATGCTTTCTTCACTTTTTGTTGCTAATGAGCCTTCAAATGAATTTGTATCACATCCATTTTTTTCTTCCTCTGAAGAAGCTTTATCTTGTTTACTGAAAAAATAAAGCCATTTATTATCTATTTCTTCAGAACACGATATATTTAAAAACTATCGAAATAAAAACATGCTCTTAAAAAAAAAAAAAAGGTCAAGGTACATTTGCCAAAAAGGAAAAAAATAATCCAAGTCCCAAGTCCTTGCTATGTTACAATTTAGGAGTGGCCATTTTCTTAGGCAAAAGAGTGAGAAACTCCAGAGTCACATATTAAAAGGAGACCTGGGAAATCTATCAAAACTGGTTTTAGTCCTGGTAATCATTACTTTTATCTGTGCATACCCTGTCTTTAGTGGAAATTTAAGCAGTCTTATTAATTTGTATGAGTACTTTAAAGAAGAAGTGAATATATTTGGAAAAAAAACATTTTTTAAATGATTTATATATCCTCTTAGAATGTCTTACCCTATGCAAAATCAAATAAGCATTCATAAACATTTCTCTAATTTTTAACAGTTTAACTTAAAAAAACATAAATACATGCCTGAAAAAAATATATGTAAATATACAACATGCATATTATATACATAAATATATGTGTATACATAAATGTTTATGTGTATATGAGTGTGTCCGTGTGTTCTCTATTAATCTGGCATGTTAACAGAAACTATACAGTGAATCATAAAACATTAGAAACAGAACACTTTAAAGAGAATCTCCAGCTCCTTATCTAGATGTTACAATACTTATTTTATCAAAAATAAATTTAATGATTACAGATATCTTATTTCTTCTCTTAATCCACCTGGAATTTGGACTTTTTCTGAATGAACTGACAAAATATCAGAGCAATGTTATCAAATGGTCATTTATTATTTACTAACTTATATTTATATAAGTTAAATAAGTCTGCTATTTATTTCGTTCTGATCTGTCTTTATTCTTGGGCCAATACCACCTAGTCTTACCAATTATAGTTAACAATATATTTTATTATTTAATAGAGCAAATCACCTACTATCCACTACTTTTCTCCCTAAGTTTAATAGTTTAAAAATGTAAAAGCATTTGTACAAGGATGCTCATAAAAACAATGTTTAAATAGCAAATACAGAGGGGTGCCTGAGTGGCTCAGTTGATTAAGCATCTGCCTTGGGCTCAGGTCATGATCCCTGGGTTCTGGGATCAAGTCCCATGTCGGGCTCCCTGCTCAGCAGTGAGTCTGCTTCTCCCTTTGCCTGACACTTCGCCCGGCTTATGCTCGCTCTCTTGCTTGCTTTCTCAATAAATAAAATCTTAAAAAAAAAAAAATAGCAAATACAGAAACAACCTAATATCTAACAAGAGAGCAATGATTTAATAAATTATGGTAGTAAATAGAAAAATATGAATCTTCCTTTAAACATCATTGGTTTCTAAACCAAATCCCATTAGCAATTTTAACTAAATATTCATTATTAAACCTATAAAATAATTTGGAAAATGGCCTATCATATATTACTTATTAATTATTTTCTATCACAGTAAGTTTTCATTTTCTTCATTTAGATCCTGTACATTTCTCATTTTTGTTATTGTGAATTAACTTTTTGTCCATTGTATTTTGTAATCACATGTTATTGGCATACTAACACATTCAGATTTTTATACTAAGCTACCTTAGTTAGTACTCTCATTACTTTCATTCTTAGCTCATTTTCTTGGATCTTAGAGGTCAATTATACCATCTGCAATTATAATATTTTCATTTAAACTTATATAATTATTATTTTTGTTCAGATCTTATTGGATTAGCTACAATTTACAGAAATGTTAAATTATAGAGAGGTGACTAGTCTGCTTTTTCAAACTCCTTCATTGAATTTTTGTTAACCACTGCCCATGTCCCCAAATTCCAGGTGAAGAAAGGGCTAGATCATTTTTCTAGTAAAGTCTAAGAGACACCTTCATAAGGCCTTATTCCATCATTTTCTTTTCAGGGGCAATAGATTAATTAATCTCATTCAGTTAAAAAGCACCCTACACCTGATGCTGTACAGCTATATATAAGATACACAGCATAAAGATAGACATGGGGAAATTACTTAATTTAAAAGACAAAATAAAATTATCTTTATCTGGAATTAAGTTCTACTTAGAATGTTAGATTCTCTTTTGCTAAGAAAGCTTCTAAAATAAGATAAAAACAGAGAGGGAGGCAAACCAAGAAACCCTTAACTATAGAGAAAAAGTGAGGGTTGGTGGAAGGAGGTAGAAATAGGTGATGGGCACTAAGGAGAGCACTTGTTATGAATAGCACTGGGTGTTATATGCTAGTGATGAATTACTAAATTCTACCCCTGAAACGAATACTATTCTATATGTTAACTAATTTGAATTTAAATAAAATCTTGAAAGTAAAAAAGAATGTCTTGTGGTCTTTAGTGTTGATCAGAGCATTAAATTTTTTAAAGCCAATCCCTGAAGTTTGAAACTTTTATGTTAAGGTCCCACCACAGAAGTAGCTTTATAAAGCTTTTGAAAATACTTTAGCGAGAAAAGATTTTAATATTACCTGTTTGCAAAAATTGTCCCCACTTTGTAACTTGTAGGATCTTGTAATTGTTTTCATTTAATAGGGGCAATTAAAATATGTTGACATTTTATTTACTAGTAAAAATTTTTTACTAGTTAAAAATTTAACAACTATAAGATGTTTAAAGGATGTTGAAAAGATTTCAAAATTAAGGATCTGCAGTATGTTTTTGTTGTATTAAAATTCCAATTTTTATTTTAGTTAAAACTAAAATAACATATAAAATAAAATGTCAACTAAAATAACACAGGCCAAGTATCAGCTTTTTAAATACTTTAATTTCAAGAGATTCAGTTTTTCCTTATATTTACCTTTCAGAATTTGATGTTTCTGTTTCTCCTTGAGCCATATTAGGTCTTGCAATTTCCTGAAATGATTAAGAATATGTTTCTTTTATATTCATGGTTAAACTTAAATTAAATTACTTTAATTATACTAAACTTTCTGGATTAAAGGAACTTAAGTGTGCAACCTAATATAGCAAAGAAATAGAAAAACAGTTTATTAAAGTATGTATTATATAATAATTCTCAAAATTAAAAGCAGAATTTTAAAAAATCTTTAAAAAAAAAACCTGTAAGAATTTCAGTGTACTAGAAGTTTCTGAATCAAGGTCATGAAGCAGTTATCCAGTTATAACAATACTTGCTTTTCTTAGACTCTATGTAAAATGTGCATGATAATTACAATTAATTGAATAGAAAACTAGTAAAACACAATGTGAATTTGAATAACAAGTTGTATCCAAAGTATTTTATACAAACATATTAAATACAAACACCTATATGAAACATATCTGAAATTATGGTTTCATATTTAGAGTACTATTAACCCTTCTGTTGTCAAACCAAGTAATATGAGATGATAGACAAATTAAATATTTTGCTGACTTGAAATGTTTTTTTTTTTTTAAACATTTTATTTATTTATTTATTTGAGAGAGAGAGAGAGAGAGAAACAGCATGAGAGGGGATAGGGTCAGAGGGAGAAGCAGGCTCTCCAACGAGCCGGGAGCCTGATGTGGGACTCGATCCCAGGACTCCGGGATCATGACCTGAGCCGAAGGCAGTCGCTTAACCAACTGAGCCACCCAGGCGCCCCTGACTTGAAATGTTTTATAGGGAGAAAAGAATACAGTAAAACTTCAGTGAGCCAGAGGCCAGCCTAATAGTTCGTAACAATTACCAATTATTAAGTACATATGATGCGTGAGGTACTATGTTAAGAGCTTTACACTATCTCATTTAATCCTCATATTAGACATTCTCAATTCCATTTTTATAATAGGAAATACAACTACGTAGGTTAAGTAGAAAACCCCAGGCAATAACCACAATAAATGGTGAAGATCCAAATCTAGGTCTAGCTCTTAACTAGTACAGTGATTGACTGAGGCCTGTGAAATTGATAATGATGTATTAATCACATATGTTTATTTTTTTTTACTCTCCTAAAACTCTGCTAAATGAGGCAAAGACATAAAACATTTTCATTCATAAAGACCATGAAAACACCAAAGCATAGTAACTGTCAATGAGATGTCAACAAATTTTTAGATGGAAAGTGGCTGGAGAAGCAGAAGTTGACTTTGCAACATGGAGGAATTTACAACTAAATATCTGAGTAGGGGAGTGCAAGGAGAAGACAATCAATTTGCTCAGAGAACTGAAGCAATCTGGTATTTGAAGGAATTCAGTACAAGATCCAGTACATAAAAAATAAAAATGAAGCACAAGGACTGCTGAGAAATCTAAATGCTCTTTCCCTAATTCACACAACAGATACCTATCCTTTCCTCTACCACAGAGGCTGAAGTAACTTTCTGAACTAGAGACAATTTAGACTTGTGAACACCAGGAATGGCAAAGGGAAGCCATGAGGAACTGAGAGAAAACAGAAAAATTTAGTCCAAGTCCATAAACTGAATAAAGGTCCCCACAGTTCTTCTCCTTGCCTGGCTCCCAGAATGCCAGCAGCTGGAGGAATCACTCTTCACCACCAACAGCCAGAATCTAGAAGATTCTTCTCTGGAGAAAATTATCAACCTCAAGGCAGACAAGGCTTCCCTTATGACTTTGAAAGCATCTTCCTCACCAAAGAATCAGTCAGCTCAGCATCTGATTTTCCTATGGTGAAGTCTAAACAATTCCCATACAGACCATGCAGATTGTGTAGAGCACTAATACAGGAGGGTTAACTAACCTTCACATTATAATCCGTGGCAGTAGTGTGTTTCACAGACACCTCGGACCTCCAAGACACTTTCAGGAGGCAGGTGAAGTTAAAACTCTTGGTACAAAAGCCATAGTGAGTAAACATGCTGGCATGCTGGCATCTTAACATGAAATCAAGGCAGTGGCATCAAGCCAAAACTACACTAGTTATCACTGTATTCTTCACTGGCAAACACCAGCAGTAAAATTCACTGTATTAAATATCAATCTTTGAGTTCCTGTCTTTCTAATATTCTGTGTGATAAAAAAGGAAGTATGCATAAAGCATTGCTATTGTGTACTGAAACACTTGGGTCTATGATTGAGTTGCAAGGTGAAGTTTGGCACAGTTTTTTCAAAGAACATCATTTTTATTTTAAAGGATGACTGTCCAAACTATGACTATTTAGACTTGGTTATTTAGGAGATATTTTCTTGAAAATTGACAAAGTGCACCTATCACATCAAAGAAAACAACTGACAGTGCTTATTCCAGTAATAAAATTCAAACAAATATTAAATTTTAGGAAAACTTGTATTCACCATTGATCAGGTTTACGCTAATATTAAAGAATGACTTGGTATTATACATAAAACATGTCAACACCTGTAAAATTTATGTAACTCAGTGAACCAATATTTTTTCCAAATGATTAATCGATGTTATAAAATCATGCATGAATAAAAGATCCAGACAGACCAATAGATTTTAATGTATCAAAGCATAAAAAGCTCAGTAATATGGAATGAGATTCCACATTGCAAAAAACCTTTAAGAAAACTTCCTCTTGTCTATTTTTGATGTAGTATTAAAAAAAACCACAATTATTTGAAAAGATTATTGAAGTACTAGGTAAGGCTGGATATTCTTCATATATTTCAACCACAATAACATATCACAACAGACTGAATGCAGAAACATGAGAATCCAGTTTTCTCCTACTTAACTAGACAGTACAAAGATATGCAAAAGTATAAAACAATACCAGTGTTCTAAGTTTCTTGTGTTTTAGAAAATAGTTATTTTTCAGAAAAAAATGTGTCATTTATGTAACTATATAGTAGGTTTATTAGTTTGGTTTTTAAGTTACAACAGAGTTTTAGATCTCACATTTTAAATTTCTAATATGGTAAATCTAATACTTTTTGAGAGTATATATAAATAGTACCCTTTGGAGTTCTGCAGTGCACAACCTGTATGAGTATATAAGGCAGCCCTGTCTCCATATTCAACAACAAGTCTTCAATGAACTCTGTAGTGCCTTACTCTTTAGTGTATGGGCAGCCAAGGATCACCACACCATTGAAGACATGCTTTATTTTTTATTTTTTTAAAGGTTTCATTTATTATTTATTTGAGAGTAAGAGAGAGAGAGAGCATGAGCTGGAGGGAGATGGAGAGAGAATCTGAAGCAGACTCTGTGCTGAGTGCAGAGCCAGACGCAGGGCTTGATCTTATGACAACGAGATCATGACCTGAGCTGAAACCAAGAGTCGGATGCTTAACCGACTGAGCCACCCAGGCGCCCCTGAAGACATCCTTTAACATCAGAAATAACAAAATAAATAGGAATAAAGAAAGGAGCTAGGAGACATCAGAGACATTGCTGGGAACAAAAGGAAAAAAATATAATAAACATTTAATATCCCCAAAGAAGTGTAAGATGTTATTACATCCATTAAACAAGAACAAAAATTATGAAGCGAAAAATTGAAGAATAAAAATATTAAAGAGCTCTTCAAAATTAAATATATGACAACTAAAATAAATTAAGTTTAGAAAAAATTTTTAAAAAGATTGAATGAAAAAGACAAAAAGAGGGAAGGCAAGAAAGGAAGTATCATACAATTAGAGGAGTTAATGCAGGAAATACAGTGTCACATCAATAGGAAAAATGAGAGAGAGAAAATGAACAAAGAAAAGTGAAAATTTACCAAAGAAATAATACAAGAAAATTTGCCCCAAACATATATATCCAAATTACAAAGCCTTATTAAATGCCTACCATAATGAATGGAAAAAGGATTGGTGAACATATCATGAAATTTCAAAATACCAGAGATAGAGATAATCATTAAAGTTGCCAGAAAGAACAAAATAACCAAAATGCAAAGAAACTGGAGCAAGAATGGCATCAGACTTATCAAAAATAATACTTTCAAAATTGCATGGGAAAAATGATTTCTAGTTACTTTAGCCAAACTATCTTTAAGTAAATATAGTTTAAAATATGCAAGGAGTGAGAAAAGATGAGCCCCTTCTGAGAGTTGTTAGAGAACATGTTTCATAAAAATAGGAAGTAAACTAAGAAAAAGGGAACTCCTAGTTCAGAAAATAGGATATCCAACACAAGAAAGTAGCAAAGGAAAATCCTGATACAACAAACTGCATCAGGCTTAGAGAGCAGCTAGTTTAAACTGAAGGAGATCTGAGAGGAGATATCCAAACTCTCCAACAATTTCTTTTGATGTGTGTGAACATTTGGAAAAAATACTTGCAAACATTAGACAAATAAATCACAACACTTTTTTAAAAACAGCATTAGGTGTATAGAGAACTAAACAAATGAGTCAAGATATATATTGTTTAACTCCATAAAAACAAAATAAAATATAGTAAAGGAAAAGAAATCATAGTAGTACTTCCTGGCTCAGCACACATAAAGGTCTCAGAAACTGTGATGTAACTGTGCTGAAATCAGTGCTATGCCAAGCCATATTGGAACTTGAGGTAAAAGGAAAAACGCATACCCCTATATACATATTATTCTTTTTTTATTGTGGTAAAATACACATAAAATTTACTATCATAACCACTTTTAAGTGTACAGTTCAGTGGTATTAAATACATTCACACTGTTGTGTGACCATCAACACCATCCCCATAACTTTTTTCATCTTGTAAAATTAAACTCTATACTCAAACAACTCCACATTCTCCTCTTCCCCTCAGCCCCTGACAACTGCCACTATACTCTCCATTCTTTATGATTTTGACTATTCTAAGTACCTCATATAAGGGGAATCATACAGGATGTCTTTTGTGACTAATTCATCTCATTTAGCATAATGCATTCAAGGCTTATCCTCATTGTAGCATACTGCAGAATTTCCTTCCTTTTCACAGTTGAGTAATATTCCCTTGTATGTGTAT